TCCTACTACCTCACAGGTCACTCCTCTTCTAGCCTTCTTTGCTAGTTCTTCAATTTCCTGACCTATTACACTGGAATGCCTCAAGGCTTGCAGTCTTGAGTTCTTTCCTCCATCTACTGCTCCCCCACGCCCCCGCCCTGGCATGGTGAGTTCACCCAGACTCATCCATCCCTTGAAGTGGGTCAGGCTAGCTTGGACTCCTCTCTTTCTCACCCTACTCTGTCAGCTAATCCCATCAGTTCTACCTTCCAAATGAACCCAAAAGCTGACCATTTCTACTGCTGCCATTCTGGGTCTAGCCACCACCATCTCTTAACCTGGCTTACAGCAATAACCTCCAAATCGGTCACATCATTTCTACCTTTGCCTCCTTTAGTCTATCCAGAGTACCAGAGAGGATCTAGTTAAAAACTAAGTTCAGATCATGTTACTCCTCCATTCAAAAACCCCCTACAGTTTCCCATGTAATGCACAATAAAGTCCAATACCCTTATAATGGCCTACAAGGCTGAACATGATTCAGACAGCCTGTTTCCAGCTGGACCACATTTACCTCCCCTCTTCTCACCCTTAGCTGGGCCCACTCAGCCATGCTTGTCACCTTGATTTGCCTCAAAAAATGCAAAACACACTCCTACCTTAGGGCCTACTGCTTCTTGCTGCTCCCTGGGCTTGAACACTTTTTTTTTTTTTTCATTTTTTAATGTTATGTTAATCACCATATATTACATCATTAGTTTTTTGGGCTTGAACACTCTAATCACAAATACCTTTAAGGCTCACTTCCGTAACTCTTTCAGGTCTTTATTCAAATGTCACCTTCCAGTGAAGCCTTCCCTGACCTTCCTATTTATAACTGAATCCTCTACCACTGATCTCTAGTACTCCCCAGCTCCCCTAATACACTTTTCCAGAGAACTAAATATATCATTACCTAATGTTCTATATATAATGCTTACTTGTCTATTTTTTTTTATCTGCATGAATTAAGACATTTTTGTTTGTGGATTTATCCCCAGAGCCTCAAATAGGACATGGACACAGTAGGTGCTCAAAATTTAAGGATAAATAAAACTACTGATCATTCTAGAAGAGATGGTCCCACCAACAGCAGTACTTTAAGAATAAACTTAGAAGTCTTAGAAAAAGAACTTATCTTGGTTTGACCAATAATAAAAGGCTAACCAGCAGTAAGTCAAATATATCTTATAGTAGACTAATAAAAGCACAAATCATTTGGCAATGTGTGTTGGCAACATTTTTTTTTAGATGCTTACTCTTTGACCTTTCAGTTCCACTTTGAAACATCCGTTCCACGGAAACAATCCAAAACATAGGAAAAACTATGTGCGTAAATATTTAGAAGTAAAAATTTAGAAATTGTGTCTAACAGTGAACTGAGTAAAATATGGCACGTATTTTTGACAGAAATAATGTCCATGAAATCCATTATTCTGTTTTGAAAACTTCAGTGGCTCCACTTTGCCTTAAAGACAAATTAGGCAACTTTTTCTACCTTCCTCAGCCTGATATTTCACCCTTACCTCTTCATAATCTATACTCTAGGCACATTTTACCAGCAGCTCTCTCCCCTCCCAAATTCTCCAATTTCTGGAGACTCTTAACATCTTAGTTTATGTGCCGTCCTAGGTTCTCTGGCAGCACTTTTCACCAAAGTCATGCTTCATAGTAATTTATGGTAACTGCTTCTTTAATGGTCTTTTTCACCCACCACAGTGAATACCTAAAACTTAGCATAAGCACCTGATCTTAAGTAGGCAATATATGTAGAAATGAACTAAGTACCATTACATAAATGTTTATGCCACTGTAAATTAACAAAGTTTTGGGGGACTGTATGATCTGTTTTCTTCTTTTGGAAAGTTCCAAGATTGTGTGGGTGTGCCCGTGCGTGCGTGTGTGGGGAGAATTTTGTAATGGAAAAGAAAATATACTCGTGTGTGTGTGTGTTTGTGTGTGTAGGGGGTCAAAATGTAGTTAATAACATTATAGTACTATAAAATGCTTATAAAAACATTCCTCAAACTTCTTTTTCCTCTCAAAATGCGTAAAACCAAATAAAGACAACTATTATGTGAGGAGCCAACAATGCAGCTAGTCCTTCTATTACCTGAGTGGAGTTAGATAGTTGGTTTTTCCACGGCTCCTCTGCGCTGCTGGTCAGGTTTGTGCGGTTATGAGGTAGAGTGAGTGCGTTTCTCTGCAGGTAAGGCACGTTTCCATTACTTCCACTTCCTGTTATGTGATTATTGCCTATCAAAATAGTGTCTGTACTCCCCAGCGTTCTTGATGTGCTACAGGGAACATGGCCTGTAGAAAAGGGTCCGTTGGCCAAAGGCTGCCCAGGGCAGGCAGGGCGGACTCCAGGCTGAGAGACGCTAGGCACTCTGGTCAGAGCAAGCTGGGGCTGCTGGCCAGAGACTGAGTTTGTAGGCAGTGATGAGTCAGCTGTTGGCCCATTAGGAATTCCAGTAGCTCGTACCTGTGCAACTCCTGTTTGTCTCATCTGTCAAAAAGCAAATGAAAAATAAATGCTGCTTGTGTGGCCCAAAAGGTAGAGAACCAGAATATGAAGGTGTGCAACCAGGTAATCTCTGATTTTACTCTAACATTTAATTTCTCTAGGTTGAAAAATACACACTTTTTAAAAACAAGAAACTGTGTTTATTCGTATTTAGATTAGCTCCCTCAGAAAAGCAGAAATCTGTTTTGAGAAACATCCCTTCAGTAAAGACAAAAGAAAGCAGCTGAAAATTATGAAAACTAGAATTTATAGGTCTTTTCCCCAAGCAGAAAACAGGGGATCTCAAATTTTCATTCTATTTTATTTACATGCCAGATCCTCCAAACTAAACAAGTCCTGAAGAAAAGAACCTCACCTCAGTTTAGGATAGCTTGTTAAGTATTAAATAATATAAATAACCCTTAAGAACACAGGCAAAATAGCATGTAAATAAGTAACAAAATACCAACTCTTGTGCTCAAAATTAAATTTACAGCTATTTTTATCTAAAAATCTCTGTCCATTATTAGTATTTTAAGAAGCAAGATTACTAAATTCCACCAAATACTGGCAGAAAGAAGTGGGCATGAACATGCTCTAAAAGGATGTTTTAGTCAAGAAAAATACTCAAAATGCTAACAAATTTTAGGGGAAAAAAATTCTATACACACTTGGTGTTGCTGCATTAAGACAAACTGACTTTCCAGCTGTTCCAGCATCAGTTTCTGTGCTGGATTTAAGTTATTTCTATTTGCACGGAGCTGTTCCAAGTGCTAGAAGAAGAAGAAAGGAGAATACAGTCAAAGGCATATCTAAGAAACCAGCTCAAGCTCACTATTCTAAGCAACCTTGTCCTGAAATGACTACACCAACTCAGAACCGCTATCTAGTCAAAGATACGGATTCCTGATCAACAGCAATCAACCCCAAGATGAAGCCCTTTAAAAAGTTTGAGAGAGTAAGAAACACTCATCTAAAGAGGTTTACTATAATGTGATATTTGAGACAAATGGGCATAAAATTTTACTTGTCAATACAGTATTTTTTGGTATTCACACAGAAAGAAAGTTCTTTAAGCTTAAAAATGCATTATGTCAAGTACACTCAAAGCAGCACTGTTTGGAACAGAAAAAGTTTGAAGACAGCCTGACTATCCAAACCTAGTGCTCTGCTTAAATAAACGTGTGACATCTACATAAATAAATATGCTGTAGCCATAAAAGAACAAAGAAGCTCTTTACGTACTGACATGGAAAAGTCTGTAAAAATACATTATTATCAATATATATAGCATTCTACCATTTGTGTAAAAAAGGAGAAAAATAACATGAGAGAGAAGGAGGATGCATATTTGCTTGTACATGCATGCCATCTCAGGAAAGGTAGGTAAACTATTAACATGGACTGGCTGTTAGAAGGAGAACTAAGTGGGTAGGAGCAGGAACTGGAAGGAGAATTTACTTTATATAGCCTATAATCATACTGATGCAGTCTGAAGCATGTGAATATATTGCCTGTTTAAAAATAAAACTAAAAATAAGTGAAAAAAATCAAGAATAAATTATCCCATTACTCTGATAAAAGTGGGTTCATTTTGCTTATGTGTATATTAATTGGATTTACTGCCACTCAACTTTAAGAATACTTAAAAATTTGAGGTTTACTGCTTGTACTCTTTTTCAAGAGGAAAAATAATCTGTCAAAAGCGTATCTTACATACCTGTAATTTCTGTGGTGTCAAACACCACGAATGAGCTTGTTGCTGTACTGGAGGATGTGACACTGCATGGCCACTACTCCAATTATCAGAAGTATTCTGAGGAAAATTGATAAAAAAAAAAAAAAAAAAATTAAAGAATATTTGGTTAAATCCATGGAGTTAACAATAATGACTAATGAAGGCCAAATGACTATGAATTGGAATATTACATATAAAAAAAGTTATGACATTAAATTCTTTTAAAAATAATTTTACATGCATAATAAATTTGGGAAATCATAAATTTAAAACAAAAATATTGATTCCTTAATAAGCCACCCAAAAAGGCCCACCCCTAAACTATGGCCCAAATGGCTAACCTAAATACCATACTGTCCACTAGATCCAACAATAAATTTATCTCAATGTCAGGAGAAAGTGATGATGAAAAGTGTGTTGAGATCTTAACGGCAGGGAGATGAATAAAATGATTTGATGAATGCAAATTTATCCCTACTTTCTATATTTAATATGATGCTAAGAATTTGGGATAGAAAAACTCAAACCTTTCACTCTTTGATGTCCACAGATTTAATATAAAGGACAGGAGACAGTCAAACTGCACAAGTTCAGGGCAGTTGGGAGTTTCCTTTTTGACTGGGATTTTTCTATTTCTCTAAAACATATACCTTTGTTGGACTAGATGTTCTTTTCCTCTTGGCAGGACTGGACAGGTCATCTACTTGGCTAGAAGGAATCATGTGTAGTGGCAAGGATTGCTGTGAAATTGGTGTTTGACTGAGGCCTACTACAGGTTCAGTATTTGGATGATGAGGTTTACATGCCTAAGAATCACAGAAGGAAGACAAAAATAGGGTTCTATATATTCTTAGTTCATTCCTTCAAATTATAAAACTTTACAAACTGCATATTTTCAAAGCTATGTGGACATCGCTGATTGCAATTATTGAAAATCAAAATCAAATGAATCATCAATGGAGGAATGTGTACCTTCCTTTGAAAAACTGCTTTAAAAATTAAACAAACCACTGCAGCATTATTTTAAGAAATCTCCTTCAAAATCATGAAAATGCACAAAGGTTCTAAATTGGCACCCCAAAATTTCTTCCCATATCAGAGGGAGTTTTATTTTGAGTATCTAGATTCCCTTCACAATTACAGCAAAAGGCTTTTCATTAATAAAAGCCTCCTGTACTTAGTAAAATACGCTTGACCACTACAGATTGAAAAGAACCCTTAAAGCTGGGCACCTGCAGAACATAACCCAACTTCTCACCTGCTGTGCTGTGTTCATGGCACCCTGCCTGGAGGTAAGCTCTGCGGGGATTGGTAGGCTCCACGCCTCCTCAATACTAGGAAGTAATTTAGTTTTATTCTGTAGACTACCTTGTGGAAGGTTACACAACTGAGCCTAGGAAAAATTATGTAAAAAGCAAATTTAACACAAGCCTACTTGAGTAAGAGCAAGTCCACTAAATCTTCCTAAATGCTATAACTAATTGTTTTTAAAAGAAAATAGATTCTTAATTTGGGGTTTCAGAAAGATACTAAGTATAAAGAGGGTAACCGGAATATAAACCTTTGTGAGAATTAAAACAAAGCTGAGCTCTGTTACCAGAGTTCTCATAGCTGTCTTCTCATGAAACTCCAAGCAAGAGTGAAAGACAGTGTTTGTGTTCTTTTCTCTAAAATGCTATGACAACTTAAAAATGTAGACAGCACATAGAAAAAAATTATGTAAATTAATATGCATCAACAGTAAATGTGCAAAAGAGCATCTTTTAAATACTGCATATCTTACTTAAAATGAAAAGTAAAATAATATTACAAGCTATGGTATGTTTACAAAATATGGAAACAAATTATAGACATCAAAACACAACTAGACAAACTTTCCAGCCACCCGCCTCCTGCCTGAGTGTCATGGGGAAACATGTGCCTTTAAAAAACTGCTATTTAAAAGTTTTACCTGTAAATACTTAATTCGTGCTGCAAGTGCAGAGGTATTACTACAACTTTTGCTTCTGGTTGCATTTAAGTAGCATTTAATGGCATCCTGAGGCTGGTTGCAGGATTCATAGAGTGTGCCTAGGTCCATCCAGGCTGCAGCATGGCCATGGTCCAATTGTACAGCACAAATATAAGCCTGTAAAGCATCCATAGGCTGATTTTGCTGCTGATATAGCACGCTAGAAAGAGAAAGTCAGAAAAAAAATAGGTCAACTAAGAAAACTACTTAGCTTCTCAAGTGATATTAACTACTAAGTACATTACACGTTATGCAACAGTTGTATATCAAGTATAAGACCATTATTTTTATATAACGTCTTACCCTATTGAACACCATGTATCTGCACTTGCTTCTGATTTATCAATAGACTGCCTGTAAGATATAAAGGCATCCTGAACTTTCCCAATACTTGAATAGCACCTGAGAGGGGAGGGAAAAAAAGATCCAGACAATTCCATTAATACTGATTAATTTTCTGAAAAACTTCAAGGCAAATAAAAATCCTAATAAGCTTACAAATTTCTGTGAATGTGTATATATATAAAAAATTATAATGTACATTATAATTAACCATTCAGTGAACTATACTGTAGTTTATCTGATAAGTGCTAAAGCACGCTGCATTAATGAACAATATTAAAATAATTAAAGGCCATATTACTTCAATATCATATAGAGTTGAAAGCGCACACGTGCACACACATGCACACGTGCCATTCCACTTAAATAGCTTGATCTATTTATATAGCTTACATTCAGTAAGAACACAGAGTTAAAAACCAAGAAAACCATTCTATGCTGGTAAGATTTGCTGAATCAGATTTCAGTTCTCCTTTCCTAAATAATAACCATGAGCTCAATCATTCTGTAATTCGTAAAAAATACAAACATTAAGATGCAGGTAAAATCAAGCTAACTATCAAAAACAGTAATAATAAGGTGAGTGCAATATTTCACGACATGTAAGGGTAACAAGGTATGATTAAAGTTTCAAGGACCTGTCATTTTCTTAATGCAGATGTACTGGATGGAAACACAGAGCAGCAGCTGAAACTATAAATATATAGAAATTATCTTCTTAGTGCTTGGAACTAAGGAAAAAAGAAAAAACAGAACCCAGTCCCTGCCTTCAAGGAGCTTACAATTTAGTTGAGGACTGAAGACACATTACAAATGTCATGATGCCGTTATCATATGGCTGACACAGACAAGAACTGTTCTGAGAATTTAGGGTAAAAGACATCAAAATACACACTACAGGATTTAGGAAAAGCAAGAAAGGGAAGGGTAACACTAAGGAATTTGAGTATGTATAGATGCATATAGTTTAGATCTGTGATTATCAATTATCAGCCAATATATGGCAATTTGGCCATGAAAATAAAATGGAAAGATAACATACACTTACATAAATTTTCCATTAAACTAATTAATACTTACACTGCAACCGACTTATTTTGAAATACAACTGAGTAAACCTCAAAAAAAAATTTTTTTAAAGATTTTTATTTATTTATTTGACAGAGAGAGAGACAGCGAGAGAGGGAACACAAGCAGAGGGAGTAGGAGAGGGAGAAGCAGGCTTCCCGCAGAGCAGGGAGCCCGATGCAGGGCTCTATATCCCAGGACCCTGGGACCAAGACCTAAGCAGAAGGCAGACACTTAACGACTGAGCCACCCAGGCGCCCCAACAGCAAAAAATCCTTAAATGTTTTTACGTGCCCAAATAGCATAGTTAGATCCTCATAATTATTCTTTGAAATTCTGATTCATGTAATCCAAAAGTCTGGGAACCACTGATTCAGACGGAGAAGATGAGAGAAGGCATTTCAAAATGTTGTTTGAACAGTATGAGCAAAACTTAATGTATAGAAGACAGCACAGATACAAAGAGTAGAGAATTATAAATCCAGCCCAAGGATAACCTGAAGTTTTTGGTCTTCTAACAAGAGAAATGGCACCACGAAAGCACTTTACAGGAATATTAATCTGCTAACAATGTGTAGGGATAAACTGAAAGGAAAATAAATTATGGACAGTAAAAAAGAAGGCAGCTATACTCACTGGCTTGGAACAGGCCAAAATTGGGGTAAAAGTAATGAAAATGGCAAGAAAGGAAAAGAAGGGAGAAATAGTAAACCAAAAAGACAGATAAAGACTCTGTGACCAACTGATTAGATATCCATGGGGGGGGGAGGGGTGGGATAACTTAGATTTAAGCCTGAGCAAAGAGAGTTTAAAAAAATAAATAAATAAAAAGTGACCTCATTGGCAAAACTAAAAGGAGAGGAGATGGTTTGGAAAAGAATATGAGGTTTGAAAAATGCTTACTTTGATGTGAGGTGAGAACACTAAAATGGATAATGTTAGGTAAAAAATAAGAGATGTGGTCCTGAAATTTAATACCTTGAAATACAGAGATCTAGATTTGGAATTCATCCACATAGAAGAGAGGGTTTAAGAACACAGGACGACTATAAGGGAGAGGTGAAAAAGCCTAAGGAATCACTAATCTTATGGATTGGGCAATAAGAAATGTCAGTGACTGAGACAGAGGGGGCCGTGTCAGAGCGAGCCTGCAAACTTTTACAAAGGGAGAATTCAGGACAATGCCAAATAGGGACAGATACCACAAAGGAAGGGAATGCTTAACAGATAGTAGAAAACACATTCTGTTTGTTGTTGTTAAATCAAAGCCAAATCTCAGATTTACAGACAAATTTACCTAACCACTGAGAGGAATAAGCAGTAATTCCCCAACCAATGTTTTCACATTCCATTCCTACAAAGTCAAAGTAGGAAACCAATGTGCCCAAATGCAGACGTCCCAGTCCAACCACCAACCACTTTTCCTCTAATAAAACTTAACTAAGTTCCCCTGAGACAGCCTTGTGTCTCTGAAAAACCAATGAGGTTCTAGGCTCTAGTTCCTGTTCTGATTTAGTTTACCTGTGTGACTGTGACCTTGGACAAAACATTTTCCTCCTCTGAACTCACTTTCTATATCTGTAAAATGACAGGATTTACAGAGTGAAGCAGGTGACCTCCCTGGTCCCTCCCAGCTCTAACATTCTATAGTTCTGTGCTAACAATGTCAGTGATCAGTACCAGTATAAGAGCATTACCACATTACCCCTGTATTATGATACACACATGCCAAATGACATCTTCAACACAGACCTGAATGCAAAGGTAAGTAATAAAAAGCCTTAGAAATATTAGGGTCATCAAATCCCAAAGCTGCTTACTGACACTTGAGGTCTCCATTCAGAGCTTTAATAACTTTTAAAATATATATTATCTGTAAAAATTTTCTCACAACAAAAAGGATTAGAAGCAACACATCAGAAGGCAGTGAAAGGAGGTCAAAAAAAAGTAAACATCAATGAAAAAAGTCTAAAACAATCGTCAAATTATGTTATTACGGATAAAAAGTAATGAACATCTAACATGATAATGTTGAACTCCAAAACAAATTAAACTGAGGTAAGTATCCTTTATTTGAGAAATCATAAAGCATGTTGTATATTTGGAAAATTTTATCTGAAAAGATTCAAATAAAAGCATCTCAGCAGCTTAAATGTAAAGTCAGTTAACTAAAATTTAAAAAAAAAAAACAAAAAACAAAACAAAAAAACAACCCTCCTGTGGAATACTGCTCACTGAGCTGAAAATTACAGCACTACTAAAATAGTAATTTTAGATGTTTAAATGCCTAGAATTTTTTTTTAAGTATACTAAAAAGACAATCAACACTACTGTATTGTATTAAACTACTAATCTTTATTTTAGGTCAAAAGGAAAATAATGTCTGGTACACATGCCTTTTAACCTATATTAAAATAAATTTTCATATATAACGTTAACACTAGAGGCGATGACTAGGCAGCCCCTACTTTCTAGTGCTGGACCTCCTTCCCAGTCCCTGTATGAAGCCTCCCACTGTGCAACACTAACACTAGCAATGGGGCTAGCTTTAAACACAAATAGTGTTCAGTCAGTTCATTTATTCCATTTATTGAATAGCCACTTTGCTAGGCGAGAATATACAAAGATGGTAAGATCCAGTTTCTGCTCCCAAATATCTTCAGTGAAAGAGAAAGACAAAGTTTGGACTCTTAAGCTTTACTAGTGAGCAACCCAAATTAGATTATTTTATAGAGCTTTGGAAGGTATTAGAAAATTTCTGCTAAAAATAGGTACCTTCCCAGCCAACTCTTATTGTACATTATTAATGACTAACCAAAAAATATTTTTTTTAAATCTTAGTATTACTCCATCTCATAGAAACACTTTGCTAAATTTAAAGGAAAAATGAAATCATACAAAATACTAAAACTTAATGTGATTTATGGAAAACTCAAACAGCTTAAAATTAAAACAACACAGGATAATTTCAAAAGAAATCATAAAATTGAAACCTTCAGGGTGAGAAGGTACCTAACAGATAATCTATAACCAGGGTCTCTCAACCTCAGCACTACTGACATTTTGGGTCAGGTAATTTTTTGTCCTAGAGGGCTGTCCCACTAGATGCCTGTAGCATTCCCCATAGTTGTGATAACCAAGTATTTCCACACATTATAAAATGTCCCCTATGGGCCAAAATAGTCCCCTATGAAAACCAACGATCTAACATAATCCTCTTATTTAATAGGTTAAAAGAAAATTGAAGCATCAAAAAGTTTGACTGCGCCATCCATGATTCCAAATATATTAGCCTAACCAAGACTTGAATCCAAGTCTCTCAACAACTAGTACACTGATCTTTCCACCATACCACAAAAGCTAAAACCAGTTAGGAAACAAAATACAATCTAATAATGGCCCCAAAATATAATCTATCAGATACATATACAAAAGATATATTTCAGATAATCAGTAAGCACAATTTCGGCATTTGAAGTACAGAGAAAAGTTTATAGACTTGAAGAAAACTATTTTCATTATATGTCACTTTCTCCTTTCCAACAAATCCACTAATAATGTATCCACTTTCTCACTGTGAGATGTCAAGTAGAACTGATTTCAGACCTACTATTAATCAAATTATGTCCATTCTAATGTATATATCATTATTCCAAATCACAAATAGCAAGGTCCCATTGGCTACTGGTGGTCACTAGGCAGAATAAGAAATTAATTCTGTTCTGTTAAATAGACATATAAAGAAAATACTAGAAATCAGAAGAAAGGACATTTAAATACTAGAATGAAGAACTACTATCTGATAAGACTTTTTAAAAACCAGCAATAATTCACATCAAATGAAAATCCAACAAGCAAAATGAGAAATGTCCCAGTAGAGCAGATTATGCTGTGAGGAAACTACCACACTCAGAAGTTTTCTTTTATTTAACTCCCAGAAATCTGTGTGATAATATATTTAAAAAGGAAAATACACTGATCAGCTTATAAATGTAAACAAACGTTTTTAGCTCATAATTCAAATCTCTTAGGTGGAATAAACAAAAGCAAAACTTAAGTATAGTCTCACCTTCCAAGGAAATACCAGGACTGGCCAGAATTAGGATCTGCTTCCAAGGACTTCTGGAGATACTGAATAGCATAGCTTTCCTTGGTGGCTTTATCTCCCAGAAGATCCACAGTGTGATGCATCCAACCTATAGTAAATGATTAAAAAGTATTTACCTAAATGACTTAATTGTTTTTCAGATTTTAAGAATACTAAGCAGAAAACACGTAAGTAAAAATATTCTTTTTTCAGTCAACTTATTCATTTAGTTTGGCATACACATTCCCAAAATTTAGAACTGCCAATTCTGATTATAAGGAAGTCTGTTTCTCACAGGAAGGTACAGTCAAACCTATAAAGAACTTTATTCCAGAGAAAATGAAACGATATTAAGCACTGATTTAACACTTAGTAGATTACAAACTATAGTTCCTCTTTTCTACTTTTGGTATTTGAAAAAATTCCAAGTTATGAAACAAAGCATATAAAGATGTTCAATCTTATTCAGTGCTCTATGTAAAACTTTATGTACATTTTAAGACTCTCCAAGACAGTCTATTAACACAATGTTTATTTCCAAGGAATAAATATTAAGACTACTTAATCAATGATAGCTCAGAGTACAACACACACATATAACCCTACCTCACTGGCATTGGCCACGTATGTTCACAACTTATCTAGAATAAAAACTATAAAGCATTCGACAATTATTTAAAAAATATTCAAATGGTGTAAATAAAAATGGTATAAAATGCGTACCACAAATGTTTAATAAATAAATTTAGATTGTGCATAATAGTGCATAATCTCAATTGTATGTAGAATCTCAAAAAGCTGAATACATAGGAGATATTAGAATGGTGATTACCAGGAATGGGGAGGTAGGGGAAATGGGGAGATACTGGTCTAAGGGTACAAAGTTGCAGTTATGTAGGATGAGTAAGTCTAGAGAGTAATGCACAGCAGAATGACTGTAGTTAATAATATTGTAATATATACTGGAAATTTGCTGAGAGAGTAGGTTTTGGGTGCTCCGACCACACACAAACAAATGGTAACTATGTGAGGAGATGGATCTGTTGATTAGCTTGACAATACTACTCATTTCACTATGTATAGGTATATCAAAACAGTTGGAAACGGAAAGGAAAGGAAAGGAAAAAAGAAAGGGGAAAGGAAAAAGGAAAAAGGAAAGGAAAGGAAAAGGAAAAGGAAAAGGAAAAGGAAAGGAAAGGAAAGGGTTATGTAAGCAATCAAAAGATTGGATCATGGAATAATGTATTCTAAAACCTTTAAGACACACAGGAATAATTTGGTTTAATTTGCTGGGGAAATCATATTTCAGTTGGATCAATTCAAGTGCATAAAATCAGCTCTGTTCTTTGTATATAGTCCATATTATACAAAACAAATAAGGACCCTTATTTTCTGACATTTATTATAGTTGCTGTGCTCCAAAAGATATTTCAAGGAGACGGAGTTAATATATTTTATGAAAATACACATCAATCACACATTTACGTTTATTCATCTGTTCCTCCATTATGCCCTATTACTAGTAAGAATGGAACCTAGAGAAACAAGCTCTAAAAGGACCTGCTTAAGCAGCAGTGACAAGCAAGTAGGAAGGACTGATGTGCAGGCATAAGTCAGACTTAATTAGGAGAGGTATTTTTCTGTTCAAAAGCATGAAAAGTTTATTATACTTATACACTCTGAAATATGGTAAGCCAATGCCAAAGATGACAGGTGATTCAGACATAATCCAAAACTATTTCAATCTATTTCCTAAATTTAAAAGGTGTATGCATTTTTGCTACTGACATACTCTTCACTGCAGCTAAAATGCATAAATTAGCTGAATGAGTAAGCTGCCTTATGCTAAAGGCACCACTTTGTTCTTTTTACTTAAGGACACAAAACCTTTCTTTACTGTACTAGTAAGCTTGTTTTAATTTTTTTTTAAGATTTCATTTATTTATTTGAGTGAGAGAGAGCCTGTGCGCATGTGAGTAGAGGAGGGACAGAGAGGGATAAACTTGTTTTAAAGATACAAATTCACAAAACTCAAACATGATCTGTAAACTTATTAAAAAAATATTCAAATACTTCCACAATTTTTAAAAGTATGGATAACTCAAGTAAAATTCTAACCAGAGATTAAATTAAAAACAAAGCTAAAAACAAAAGTTTTATATTAAGGCAATGTGCTCATTTTGTGTAATTAATCATATGATGGGTATCAATATCATGAAGATCAGTGATAAAATCTAGGCTTAAATGATTTTAAAATTATATAAAAAGTCACATTATGAAAATATTCATATTACTACACGTTGGTTAAAAATTAAAGAATAAATTATTTGCCCAGACCAAAAACAAATAAACAAAAGCTGGGGGGAAAAACCCAAATAACACATACATACAAGAAACATGACTCAATAACTACACAACAAAACAAAATGTAAGGAACTCAATCACTATCTTCTTGGTCACAGTGACATATTACATCCAAATGGCTATGTTTCTTCATCTTTAACATTAGACTAGAATATTGCATGTGTACAAAAACACTATACTGTTAGATGTTCCACAACTTTTAGATGAAATGTTTTAGTTAATATTATTGACAGAGCTATGAAAGCAAGCTCACCAATCACCAAGTGACTTTAGACAAATCATTTAACTTCATTCAGTGCTAAGCATATCTGGCACAAAGGAAGTATTCAACCCCCTTCACCCATTGGTGAAGTACTAGAGAATAATTCTGAGAATTTAAAAGGACTAGCTACACTGAAGAACTGAAATGAGATGGACAATGCTTGGCAAAAGGTGGAAATATGCTCGGTTCAGATTAATTCTATCAACTCTGGGTAAAAGAAGGAAAAAGAATAGAATACATGAGCCACATATTTGCCATCCCTGACATGTAAAAATCATAAAGAGAAATACTTATAATACACTAAATGTACACTATTACATACCTAACTGTTGTAAGACAGTTGCCTTTACTTGTGCAGAAAGGTTTTCCGTCTGCAAAAGTTGTTCATAAGCTTCCTTTGCAGAATGATACTTCCTCTAAAAAGCAGAAAAAAAGAGATTTAAACAAAAATAAAATTGGTATCTTTGAAGAATTAGCGCATATATTAAGATTTACTACATAATACTAAAAAAGAAAAAAGATTTACTACATAATCCTGATACTTTAGCGTACTTCTTCCAGCCAACTGAAAGAAGAAAGTGCTAATTCCATTACGGAATGTTCCTTTAACACTAGACCGTTGTGGATAATAGGTCCATGTTTCAGAGTAACTAATACCAGTAAACATTCAATACAATAAAGTATTAAAATATGCCCTTTTAAGAATTTGCCAAATCTCAATTGTTAAAATCATCTCAACTTATTTAATAATAATTTCATCTTTATTATGTAACACTGATGAAGCTAGAGAAATATTCTACCTCCAAGTGCATAATCTCTGTACCTAGAAACACCAAGTTCCCAAGCAACTAAATATAAACAACAGAGTATACACCAAAAATGTTTTTAAAAATCTAAGTGCAAAATTAGTTAAAATCTAAGTTTAAAGGTACTGGTATATATCCTATGGAAAAAATTTATAATATGTATAACTTTAAAGATACCAAACCTCCCGTACTTACAGAGTAAAAGCGTTCGCAACACTTAAGGTTCCATAGGCAAATCTCTAAATGAAACCATTTACCCACAGTCCCCTCCCCCAAGTGACAGAAACCCGTTATTGCTACAGTTATAAAGCTTAAGACAGCTCCTCCAAGAAAAAGGGGAAGGGGAGAAAAGGGGAAGTCAACAAAAGAAAACCTCCTAAATACTACCTTTAAAACATACTCAGCAGAACAATGGATTGAAGTGGCTTTTATTCATTATCAGCAATAGTCCATAGCTGCCTGAGCAAACAAATTCTTCTCAAAAACAAACAAACAAACAAACATAGGTAGGGGAGTGCCTGGTGGCTCAGTCGGTTGTGTCTGCCTTCGGCTCAGGTCATGATCCCAGAGTTCTGGGATCGAGTCCCGCACTGGGCTCCTTGCTCAGCAAGGAGTATGCTTCTCCCTCTCCCTCTGCCTCTCCCCCCACCCCAGCTGGCTTGTGCTCTCTCTCCCTCTCACTCACTCACTCTCTCTCTCTCTCTCAAATAAATAAATCTTAAAAATAAATAAAAATAAATAAATAAAATTAAAAAAAAAACCCATAGGTACAAATACAAAACTAGCTGTAGGATCCTCAGGCAAATCACTAAAACTATGATTCAACATCCATAAAACAGAGCTAATACCCAATCTTTCTATCTGGAGTTGTTCTAAAGATCAAATGAGATAAGCAAAGAGCTAGAGAAACAAATAAGGTGCTACTTGAATACAGTATGTGAACACAGTAAAGATCTGAAAGAACTGGCCATTAAGATTAACAGACGTTACTACATAAACTTTTACTCATCAGTTCAATTAGCTCCCCCTAACTATTAATCTGATCCCAAAAAGCTGTTGAGACAATTAATACAAGGTAAGGACCAAGTTATCCAACTCAATTCCTTCAAATGATATGCTAAAACATACTTCCAAACACAAGTAATAATAGTAAAAAGAAAACATACTTGAAAAACTGGTTGCATCACACTGAGAAACATAAAGTTGGATTTCTACTTCTTATCATATATAGGCAGAGAAGCATATGAGAGAAAAAATGTAGGAGAATATTCTCTTGAGATGGGAATGAATTTCTTTGACATGGCCAAAACCAATACAAATCATAAGGAAAAGTAAAGATCTGATTTGAAACACAAAGCAGAAAAATAGGCAATGGACACAAAAACCAACACATAAAAGGTGAAAAACATGTGAGCAAGTGTTCATCTCCAGAAATCAGAAAATGCAAGTTTAAATGAGATACCACCACCTACCCATCAGATTGGCAAACAAGAAAGTTGAGTAATCCAAGTCTTTTGGGGATGTGAGTAAAGAAAAACACTCATGCCCTGCTGGAAGGGGAATCATTCATGACATCAGGTATGCAAATGCACTACAATCCAGCAAGCTCACTCTTGGGACACAGATGCCAAAGAAACCTTTCCACAGGTAATGTTCTAAAATGGTACCGTTTACAGTATCAGGAACTGGGGTCAACCTAAGTCTATGTCACTAGGGAGTGAAAACATAAAATATGATGGATGCTTATACTAGAACAATAAGCAGCAATTACATATGGCATATAAAAAGCAACATGAGTTTAACTTTAAAGGTGTTTAGTAAAAAGCGTTGCTTCTGGTAATGTTGGAATAACCGTTCTACAGGAGCTTTCAGTTACAGATAAAATATAAGTCAACTATCAGAAAGCCTAGGGCACCTGGGTGGCTCAGTCGTTAAGCATCTGCCTTTGGCTCAGGTCATGATCCCAGGGTCCTGGGATCGAGTCCCGCATCGGGCTCCCTGCTCAGCAGGAAGCCTGCTTCTCCCTGTCCTACTCCCCCTGCTTGTGTTCCCTCTCTCGCTATCTCTCTCTGTCAAATAAATACTTTAAAAAAAAAAAAAAAACAACCTATCAGAAAGCCTAGGGAGAAACCAAATCAGGCTATAACCAGAGACATTAACCCTTAAGAAAAGGGAATGGCACTGGATGAGTAACCCCCTTTTACTAGGATTTTCACCTGAGAGCAGGCCTTAATTGGTGCCTGGTTGGCTAGAACGCAAAAGGAAATGAGCAATCTCACCAGCTTAAAGAATCAGAGAACACACTTTGAAGCTATCACAAGAACTAGAAGTGAGGGGAGAAATCCCAGGGAGGAGAGAGTGAAAGAAAGAGAACACCAAATTCTGCAATTAAACTCTGCCTAAATCTCTTGTTGACTGCTGAACTATGCATGAACACGGCAGATGTCCAGCAGCCTAAAAGAACTAAAGAGAGATTTCAGCCACTGTCAGCTACAGGGGTGTCCACATTTAGAGTGTGCCTTGAGCAAAATTAACCGGTTTATGTAAAACAAAAACATCAATCTTCAGAAAAATATAACAAAGTCACTCTACAATGTATTATTCATGACAGCCAGGATAAAATTACCAGACTTATAAACAATCAGGAAGATTCTACTCACATTCAAAAGAAAAGGGAATTAATGAAAATAAACCATGAAATTAGATGAAATTTATAAATAATTTTAAGGCAGCCATTTTAACAATTCACGGATAGTAAGAAAAAGAGAATCATAATGAGTGAATGGGTAAGAAATTAGAGCATGGAAAGAAACCAAAAAATTCTAAAACTGAAAAATATCTGATATTTAAAAAATAAATCACTGGATAGACTGAATAGCAGATTGGAGACTTAAAAATAAAAGCCATCCAAAGATAAATGAGGCAATAACAGTCTACCATACATGTAACTGGAGTCCAAGAAGAAGGGAGAGAGAATGGGGCAGAAAAGATATAACGGCTGAGAGCTTTCCAGAACTGATGAAAGATAACAAATCCCATATCCAAAAGACTAAGAAAACCACAGAAGAAAAAAAAACAATCCCTGGGCACTTCACAGTCAAATTCTTAAAAACCAAATGGAAAGAGAACTTTGAAAACAGCCAGAGAAAAACAACAAAATACAAAGGATACAACAAGAATGACAGCCAAATTAAATATAATGGACTAGACATTCCAAACAAAAAAGACATGTCCAGAAAAGATTTAGAAAAGAGCCAAAAATATACCCTAAGAGATGCACTTTACATATAAACACACAAGAAGGCTGAAATAAAAGGATGAAAAAGATACCATGCAAACAACTAAGCATTAGAAAGCTGAAGTGACCAGATTCAGATCAGATTAAGTAGGCTTCAAGGCAAAGATTATTACCAGAGATGAAAAAAAAACAACAAAAAAAAATTTCACAATGATAAAGAACATCAGGACATAACAATAACATAACAATAAAAGAGCTTCAAAATACATGAAAAGATTGACAAAATTAACAATGGTAAAATACTATTAATTAATCTACATAATTTTTTCCAATTTCACCAACTCTCCCAACTAATGTCTTTTTTCTGGTCCAGAATATAATCCAAGAACCCATACTATGTTCAGGTAGCATGTCTCTTTATTCTCCTCCAATCTGGGACAGATCCTCACTTTTTTATTTTCAGTACTTCAACACTTATAAAAAGTACTGGTTAGTTACTTTGAAAAACGTCCCTTGGAAATTAGTTAAGTACCACCTTGCGGGGAGATACTCATCATTCCTCAATTCATTCATTAACTGAAATACTACATAACAAAAAAGTGTCCCCTTTCTTCCATTTATTTGCCATTTATATTCACAATTTGTATTATCACAATTCATTTATAAATGAATATAAATAAATTCAAGTATAAATATACAAATTCATTTATATTCATTTACTTATAGAATTTATATAGAATTATTCCTTTCAGTATGAGCTAAAACATTTTATTCTGTATATTTCATTATTATAATTGGTTTCTAAACTTGTGTCAGATTTGCTGATTAGAGACCCCATCCCCTCAAAAGTTGACTCCTGTGTTTTTTCCACATGCCCTCATCATTTTTTGAGTACTTCCTTACTTTGTGGCACCACAAAATGTTCTAGAGCTCATCTTGTAATTTCCTTGCCTAAGCCCTGGAATCACCCACTTCTCCCCAAGAATCCCTGGTTCCTTTTATATTTAAGAATAGTATTTAGAAACAAAGATCTGGGTGCTAATGTATTCACTATTGCAGGGATGGGTCATTGCCTCCAGGCCCTCCCAGCAAATAGAGCTAGAAAACATATTTCTGTGTATACACACACACCTGTATTTCTATCCAACTACCCATAACCATAAATAACCATATATTCATATTGATACCTCCAATTACAATCCAACACTAGTTCAGTCTTGCCTTTACTTTCCTTATTTTTAAGTTCTGACAGTGAAAAACCTGGCTCTCATTATCCACAATACGTTTACTTATTTGCTTATTCCTAATATTCACATAAAGTAGTTACAGAATTCCTAATCCATACCACTGTGAGAAAGTA